CCCCTAAAGCCTGCCTGCTCTACAGTCCTTACAGAAAATATTTAATTACAGAAGTTAATTTGGTATAGGCTATTTTTGCTTTTGGCATGCCAAATCTTTACTGAAGTTTCCTCATTTAAATGAAGGCTTGATGTTTTGCTCATACTAAACACTCTGGGAGATCTGCTTGTTTCAACTAAAGAACAACAGCTTCAGTCTCATGCAACTTGGACTTACCATCCTACCACTGGGGTCTGTTCACCTTTTGGAACACATCTTCAAATAGCAAACAATGGAATGCAACTGTGAAAAAATTCTAATTACCTTCCTGAAAAAGGAAATTGGACATCTCTGCTCCACAGCTTTTCCTCTGTGTTTTAAGCCAAGCTCTTCAAAATGAATTGACTAACCTATAGACTGGAAAGATGGGGAATGGTGATCCTTCAATAAGCCAAGCATCCTGTACAGTATACTGAACATTAAGGTGGTCAGAGAACCAGGAGATCTTCATATTTTATCAAAATACACAGTTCCATCTACACCCAAATTCTGCAATAATTAGACCTACTAGAATTCCGATTTCTGGAATTTTATTTACAACAAAAAAGTACATTAAAATTAATTTTAAAAGTTTCAGGAATTTTCCATGTGGTATGTCAGTATTATGGCACTGTAGCAAAGAAAATATGCTAAACATATCTCAAAAAGATAAAAAGAGACAAAACAAAATGCCTGTTGATGCTTTTCAGTTACCAAGCTAGACATTTTTATTGTATGCAGTTAATGAGGAGAGCACTAAAGCAGCATTGGGAACTTTAATGTTGGTATTAAAACTTTGGGAACTGATATCCAAGATAAGTTAAGTAGAAGTCAAATGTCATCCCTAAGTTAATTCTGCCTAAGATTTCTACAGAAGGGTTTCTAAACTGATCTCTGTTTCTAAAATCAAAGTGTAAGGTGCAAAACCTCAAGATTTCATATTCACCTTTTTTGGTTTTTTTAACCTACAGATGGTAATCAAAACTTCTTTGGGAACATACAGGAATCTCAGCTTGCAACAAGACAAATCAGATCTCTTTGAAAGAAGTGGTATCACCTACATTTAAGAAATTTATGCTTAATAAAGCAGAAAAGTATCCTTCCTTCTGCCACTGAAAGACTAATTGTCAGAGAAACTCACAGGGTTGCATTCTTTCTACTAGTAAGATTTCCCAAATGAACAAGTACCAGATGACTGGAGTACACTGTGATGTTTCGTGTCTTAACCAAAACTGAGTTGCTCTCACCAAAATTAAAAGGTGTTTCATCATGTCTTTAGTCTCAGCAATGCACCATGTCTCATGGAGCTTCCCTGTAAAAAGGATCAAAAAGGCTTCTACATATTTTTATAACTGATTATGATGATTCCCCAAAGTGGATTCATTCACCTTAGCTCTGAAAAAAGTATGATGTCAGTGGATAATTTTGGTAGTTCACAAGATTAGCTGTTCTAGAAAATTTAAGTACTAAAACAAGAAATATTCTAAATCTGTGGGTTCCACTGCACTGAATGTTTGTGCTATGACACTTCGAATTCTAAGGACTGCTAGGAATTGCAGGGGGTGGGAAGGGGAGATACAGCAAACTTGCCATTGTTTTTACTCTCAATTTTCACATTAAATGCAATTAGCCAGGGCTTCCTCTTAATTCCCATTTTCTATAGAAGAAAACACCTAATGCCTAAATTGTCAGCCTTGACACACAGACTTTTTCTCTGAAAGCTTCATAACTAAACCAACGAGATGCATTACCTGCTTGGGAAGTGTATCGCCCACCTACTTGTTACTTGCTACTGTTACTTTGTGTTTTCAGTGCTATTTACTGCAAATGTGTTAAATTAAGAGACACTAGGGGTGGAAAAAAGGATTTATCACCTAGAGATAGCAAATACCATAAAGAGCCCAAAAATCTTAAGGATAAGACCTGTTCTTCCATTTACTTTAGTAAAATATACAGCACATGAAATCCATATGACTATAGCATCATAGGGTACTCAAAGAACCTTGACACATCAGCTTGACTGGGAATTTTGGCACCAGACCAATAAAAATAAAATTACTGAGCGTGGAAATCATAGAAGTTGGCAACTGTTTAGTCTTGAGATGCCAGGGAAACAAATAATATGGATTCAGTGAGGTTAAGAACTTCAATTTGTTAATTAACTATCTGAAAACAAACTTTGTAATCCATATTTTGTTTTCAAAATATTACACACTAGATGCTCACTTGCTGGTATACCCCACCCCCACACACGTTCAGGCTGGTTTGCAAATAAAACATTCATGTTCATCTCTGCATTAAATGCAACTATCAATAATTTTTACTTTTTAAAAACTCATTTAGAAGACACGCTGTACACAGAAATAAATCACACACAGGCACACAACAAATGTTTTGTCATTCAGTAACATACTGCTTGCAGTATCATTAGCCCTTTTATAATAAATTTGAGCCTACTAACCACCACTACCCTGGCTGTGTTTAGCAGTGAGCTGCTGCCAAAGCAGAAATCCCCCAGGCAGCCTCAGATGGGCACTCTCAAGTCACCCCTGTCTGTCACTGTCTCAGCTGTCACTCCACACTGCCTGCTTACACCAGCTGCAGGGAGGGTGGGTGACAGTGGGGTGTCACAGCAGCCCTCCAAGCCTGGCCTCACTTGGCTGCTGAGGTTTGTGCTTCATGCTCCAAAGCACACCAGTTTTAAAGGCTGCACTAGGCCAGCTTGGAGAAACCTCTTAAGAAAGACTTTTACCAAGAATTTGCTATGTATTTCCTCTGCATAAGTATCATTGTATCCACAGGTTTAAAAAAAAATAGTGTTTTTAATTAGTTGAAAGTCAAAACAAACTTCCATGACAGCACAAGAAAAATGCCAGTCAGCACACAAGACTGCAGGCTTTCACACATGCAAACAGCCTCCACACATACAACCCTGCAGAGAGAGATAAATGACACAAAGTTATTGATACTTTGAATGCCTGGTTAGCATCTTCTGTTATGTCAGAAATACTCACCCTGTTTCCTTCAAGGTCCCACTGCTACTCTGCATGCCCACACTTTCTCTATCAAACTGTCAATTTACCTGGAAAATCCAAGCAAAATCTATCTCACATGCCTCCGAGCTGCAAAGGAATGCAAACCCACCAGGTTTTAAAATAACTTCGTATTACTCAGTGTTGATATTAGCATTTTCGAAATGGCTACTCATCCCTTGCAAAACCAATTAAAGACAGATGTAAGGCAGTCCAGGAGGAGCCACAGATACTCATCAGCTACATGGCCATACTGAATAGATGACTGAGAATCTCAGTCTAAAAATAGCTAACGAATGATTTTACATATCTAAAGAACAAAACACTAGTTCAGAATAATGTTGCTATTAATAGGAATAATATGCATGTACATTATGGATGTTCTTTCATTTCACAGATGTGATTTCATTCTGTTACAGCCATCACAATTGATATTTAAGATTTACAATACAGAGAACAGATTTAAATGAAAGTAAGCAGACATTTGCTTTATACTTCATAATTACAGCGATCTCTCCCCATAGAGAGAGATAAAAAGGCATTAGTTATGGTCAGTACTAAAGGGGGTAATTGTGTATTACAGCACTGATGATCACAGAGTTACACTGAGTTTCAAGAGCTGTGAACAGGAAAGAATATTCTCAGCATAAAACTATGCAAGAGCTTGAGCAGAAATGAAGGGCAGAGACTACTGTGACCACACCATATTCATGTATCCCCTGGCAGGTCATTAGATTCTCCATTTTGCAAATCTTCCCACACAGCCTTTACAAAGATCCATGACCACATCAAAAGCACCATGCTACTTACAGCTGAAAAAAAGAGGACTAAAAAATGCCCCAGGAATATTGATTTGAAAGAGAATAAAACTACTTGTGAGATGTTTCCAAGACAATCCACCACAGTGAAATGAATGCCTACCACAACGTAATAGCCCTTTTTGCTCCCCATAGTAAAGCACCAATAGGATTTGTCAGACAGACAGGACTACACTTCAGTAAGGATAAAAAAAATCCAGTGTTTAAGCATGCAATTTTTACAGTTCCTCTGGACACTAACTGCAAATAAGATACACAACAGAATTGCATGCTCAATTCCATGACAGTAATTTTTGTGTAAATACTAAACATTCTTCCTAATCCTATTTTTGTCTAACTCTTAAGTGTTCATATAGAAAACAGCACAAAAAGAGGCATTTGTCTCTTCTGGGTTATTTTTGTCTCCAAAAACACACTACACGCATTTTGGAAAGCATCGTTCCTGCCAGCTGGGGACGCTTTTCACCTAGTGTCAGTGGAAGAATAACTACAGCGCATTAATAAAAATACCTACAGTGTTTTATAAGATGACCTAGAGCAAACTTAAACTAAATAATTGAGGCTATTTGGAAGCACTTTTGTGATAGTGTCACTGTATTAATGGAAGACGGTGACTCTCCAGACAGATCTTGATTGTAGATGCAATGTGTCCAACCAGTCAGTGGATTGGTACACAAACCCTCCTCTCTACAACTACAGAGAATACAACTTGTGCTGTCAAACCTGAGATTTGCTATTTGACCTTTCAGCACTAGAAGTTGCTTTTCAATCCCAAATCAGTGGGGAAAACAGTTATATTTCCACAAAATTATACAGCTGTCCTACAGCAGCTAGCCTCCACTAGAGGCTGCTGAGTTTAGAACAACCAGTTGATCACACTTTGAACCATGACTCCAATTAACTAAAACACTTCAGATCAGCAAAATTCCATGCCTAATCCTACTAAAGTTTGAGTGACTAAAGTCACTCAAAGCTATAAACAGCAGACATCTCCTTTGCTGTTTGTTTGGCACAACACAATTAATCCTGTATTCATACAACTGAGAGACAGAAAGCAACTCCATCTGCCCCTCAGTTCATGAGCCCCTCACTGCTCATTCCTTCACCTGGAAAAGACTGCAAATAAACCAACCTGTTTGGCCAACTGGTCCTTCTTCACCAAGCCAGTGGCTGCAGCGATGTTCCCTGCTCCTTCCACGGTCTTTTGTGCCACCGCCGTCACTCCTGTCACCACAGCTCCCCCAACATTGGACACCTGCTCTTTGGTCTTCTCAGCCACTGAGGAGAAGCAGAAGATGGGAAAACACATGATGCCTGTGGGAGTTGTAAGTTTTTCAGAGAATTTATCACCGACAGCCTGACATCATGAAAAGCCATAAGGTCATTACATTTTCTGTACCCCAAGCAGATCTTGAGAAATTAAACTATCCATCTGATAACACTGGAGCAGCAGAGGTAAAAATAACCCTTAGTTGGGGCTCAATTTATTTCATGTGAAAGGCATCTGACATTTTCATTCACATCTAACTGCACTTTAGGGAAGAAAAGTCATTATTTAAACACTCTTATTATGTCCATCTGACTGTATAATATATCCTAGTTTGGAAATGCATTCCAATGAATCCACCAACCCCTTGCTGCATAATACAGGGACTGGAAGACACGATTTTTTTGTGTTAGACTCAAAAAATCATTCTTTTTCTTATTTTCTAAGATACATATCATTAAAAAGCAGACCTATTAATGCTCAACCAGAGAATTTCCAACAGAACCTTTTATCTGACTCCCTTGAGATCTTTGCCCCAATCCTGATACATAATATACTAATTTATAAAAAGACTGAATGTCAAAGCAAACTGGATTAATAGCTAACTTCCAAGCCCCAGGGAAACAACAACTCATTTAGCCTACATATACATCAGCAGTTGCCATTCTACCTTTCAGAATATCACTGGGGTTTTTCTGCTCATTCATCCCCAAGGGCTCTTTCTGACAGCAGCTGGAACTACAGTGAAACTGCTCTAAGAAAAGGGATGGAATGACTTCATGCCTTCAAGTTACATACCCAGATTTTTAGCAAAACACATATGCACTCCTCTAAACAAGGGAATGTTTTTCAAAAACATCCATCATATCCTTTTGCCATTCTAACTAATCCTATACTTTTCTTCAGGCTAAATCCCATCTGATCCATAAAATGTATTCATAGGTTTATCTGCATCCTTTATGAGCACAGGACGGATTCTGCTTCAAAGTTAGGCAACCATTTCTGAGTCTTTTTTTGGGAAGCGCAAATGAAAATTAGACTTTCTGTGGATAAATTACATTTCTTTAATTCCTTACATAAAGAGCATCAGTTGTCCATATCAAAGGGCAGGCAGCATGCATTACTATGAATGATAATAAATAGCAAAAATTAGGAAAAAGCTAGAAAGCTAAACAAGACTAATATGCAACTTTTATTAAAGACCCAAATTATAAATATCTGCTGACTGAAAATGGAAGCAGATAATTTAATGCTCATTCCAGCTCATTTAAAGGGAAAAGTTAGTAATGAATTAAATATTATCTCTTATGACCAAGACCTTTCATTATAGAGTAGAACAACAGACTACACATCGTCTGAAATTAGAAAAAGTGTGTTTCAATATCTCCCACGCTATATTAGACACTAATAACCTAAAAGTTCATGAGAAATTTCACTGTATACATTCACCACTCTATTGCCATGCTTTTTTTAGCAGGGAAGCAGGGGGGAAGATAATCAAAAGGGGGTTTGCTGAAAAGCAAATGTTGTCCTCAGGGAAGGTTTGACTTAATACCAGCAAGTGCAAAAAGACATCTGCTAAGATGCCCCATTTGATTATTACCAGCTACAGACCACAAAAAGCTTTGGATTTTATGCATGAAATTTATATAGGAAGCTTTCCACTACTTCTTGCAAACCTATATCTTCAGATGCGTGTCCTCATAACATGTTATTTCTTGCAAAGCCTAGTGAGATCTGATTGTGCTTGGGTCTTTCAGAAAGAAATTGGATAATGTTATGAAACAAACTTATTCATGTTGTTCCAAATGGCAAGAAGAAGTCTAAAAAAATGAAGTAGCAGCTTATAAAAGTAGATTCAAAACCCTAATTTTCCAATAAGTATTTAAATTTTTAAAAATTAAAACAAGAGAAGATGTTTTGGGTACATTTCAGTACTGCTTTTTATTTGTCCTCCATCTCATTCATTTTCTGGGTGAAAATGAATATGAACATCCCAGGGTGTATCCAAAGCAGCATAACCAGCAAGTCAAGGGAGCGGATTCTGCCCCTCTGCTCTGCTCTGGTGAGACCCCACCTGCAGGGCTGCATCAGCTCTGGGGTTCTAGCACAGGACAGACTTGGGCCTGATGGAGTGAGTCCAGGGGACACCACCAAGATGATCAGAGAGATGGAGCACCCTTCCTATGAAGGCAGACAGAGCTGGTGAGACCCTACTTGTGGTCTTCCAGTACCTAAAACCCTACAAGAAAGATGGAGAGGATCCTGTGATCCTGTTGGGACAGGGCAGGAGTAGATTACTTCCAATTAAAAGAGGATGGGTTTAGATACAGAATAAATTCTTTACTGGGAGGGTGGTGAGGCACTGGAACAAGTTGCCCAGAGAAGCTGTGGATGCCCCATCCCTGGAAGTGCTCCAGGTCAGGAGGCTATGAGCAACCTGGTCTAGCAGAAAGCATTTTTGCCCATATAAGGGATTAGAATCAGATCTTTAGGGTCTTTTCCAAGCCAAACCATTGGGTTTGAGTCTATAATTCAGGGTCCTTTCATTCTGTTAAATTTTTTTTGTATAGAAGTGCCACACATTGTTTTGAAAACTCCCCTTTCCAGAAAGTGCTGAATGGCACAGTCAGCAATCTCACAGACTCAGATCAGAAGGCTTAAAAGCAGCCCGTTTATTGAATCCTCTTTTTATAACTTGGTTTGCTACAGGTGGACCTAATTGGTAATTTAACACATTTTACATGATAAGCTAATGAAGAAGACACCCTCTTTGTGAGAAAAACAACTTGTTAAAATATTGTTTAATATTTGATTATTCTTTCCCTCCAGCCCCCTGAATGTTCCCAGACCAATTAATGGGAAAGCTTATTTACCTTTCTCTCTCTCTGACCAGACTGTTATCCACACATGTAAAGGACAAATTCAGTAGGCTTGATGCTGACAAAGGCTCAGTTGGCCTTGAGCAGACTCATCCTTTCTGATAAAATGATAAAGCATGGTTGTACTGTGTTGATTGTCACAGGCACAACTCAATGCAAGCTCTTAAAGCACCTACACCAAGAAACAGAGTGGAACTGAGTGCACTGTGGATGATGCAGTACAAAAAACCCCAGTTCTCAATGCCATTATTACACCCACATGTCTTACAATATGTTGTCGTGGCAAGTACAACCACCTACCAAAAGCAACTATCCAGGGGCTGCTGTACCCACTACTACAGGATTTTGGGAAGACACTGTCTCAAGTTCATTCCCTCCTCCCAGAAACACATTATCCTAGCAAAGGCCTAGTATATACAAACTCAAATGGAAAAGGAAAGAATCAGCCCACTAACACTGTTTCAGGCACAACAATAAGGTACTGACAAAAGTAGTAACAAAAGCAGTATACTTAAGACTTCTTCTATTTCAGACAGCCATGGTTTAACCCCAGCTGGCACTAAGCACCACACAGTTGCTCAGTCCCTTCTTCCCCCAGCAGAATGGGGAAGGAGAGAATTGTAAGGGTAAAAGTAAGAAAATTCATGGGCCAAGTATGGTTCAATTTAAATAAAATACTAATAGTAATAAGAAATTATAACAAAAAGGAAAACAACAAAGAAAGAAAGCTATGAATCCCACAGGCGATGCAAAGCCAAACAATTGCTCATTGCCAACCAACTGACACACAGCCAGACCCCAAGAAGATGACCCTAACCAACCTTCCCCATAGTTTTACTCCTCAGTATGATGCCGTATGGTGTGGAATATTCTTCTGGTCAACTGGGGTCAGCTGTCCTGGCCGTTTCTTCCCCCAATTCCTTGTGAACCTCATCCTTCTCACTGGTGGGGTGAGGTGAGAAGCAGGAAATGCTTCCACATGTAAGCCCTTCCCAGCAATAACTGCAACATCCCTGTGTTACCAACACTGGTTCCAGCACAAATCCCAGACAGCCCATACCAGGTACTATGAAGAAAATTACCTCCATCCCCACCAAAAGCAGCACACAGACACAGCATAAGAAAGCTGACACAGGAGTTACCATGGAGGATCTCTCATACACTGCTTCAGAAATCAGAGCCATGAAGATAAATTCAGCAAACTATATAAATAGCACAAGCAACCATAGTAAGGAGATAATCTTCTTTCTTGTCTCTAAGAAATAACTAAACATCAACATCATTACCAGAGTGACTCTGATAATGAGCTCCAGCCTGGTGACCCTGGGGCTCTGAAAACCCCACAACAGCAGAAAAACCAAAATAAGTTTCCAGCCTCATGTATTTTGTTGCTTACACTAAGTAGTAATGGGGAAAGCATTAAGTGTGCACAAACAAATCAGTCCACAATATAGGGGGTTGATTCCAACTTATTAAATTTATCTTAATGCTTAATGATCTTCAGCCATTAAGTCTTAGTAAAATTGACATTTACTTTGCATCACAGTGTTGCAAACCAGAGTACATCAGCTTCTGCAGAGCTTTTCTGTGCAATGGCCCGATTACTTTTTACCTCTGCAGAGACTGTTCATGCCATTAAATGACCCTGCGACAGTGTACAATGACCACACCAAGGATAAGTTGAATTTCGAATACTGACTATAGATAGTACTGTGCAAAAAGTACTAGCACTGAAGTTGCCTTTTCACTACTTATTACAGACAATGGGGGAGCATACAGTATCAGTGTAAAACCTCTGGAGCAATTCAAAATCATAACTAGTTACTTTCAACCTTGAACAATAAAAGTAGATTCAAACCACAGAATTTCCCTGAATTAAAGAACTTACTCTTCTTGTACCAAATATACTTTTGATTAAGTATTTCAAATAGCATGTTTGTCCTAAGTGCTTGAAGAATTCATTTACAAAGATGCCATAAATATGGCAGTTCTTTAACTTATGCAATTTTCTGTAAGATACCTGACAGCATTAAAGAGCAGGAATACCAGTTACTAAGAACCTTAATAAAAACAAGAATGAGCCCAAATAAGTAAAGAACTAAGCAAAACAGTTGACTATGGTTTTCTACTATCAGTATTGTGTCTTCACTCACATGATTGATGGACTAAGAGCTTTTTTTGACCTGACTTATTTACAAATAGTGCTTTATTTAGAATATCTGAATATATTCATCTTTGATACTGTTCATTTCTGGGAGATAAGAAAGAGGGGTGAATTATGCATTTACAGTCAAAGGCCAAGATACAATGCAATTAGGAAGACAATTCTAAACATGAGCATACACCCCATAAACCCAATAAGCAAGCTGCTTTTATCAGAAGTTCAGAGAAAGGGTGACCTGAAAATAACAGACTTACCATATTCCAGTGAATCACAGCCTGGAATCCTCATTTCACAGTATCTTCATGTCACTAAACCTGGTACAATCAGGTCACATTTAAAGCACAAAACCCCTCAGTCTAGCAATTCTGGGTTTGGAAATTAACTGACTGAAGAACGCAATTAGGTTTTTCAGCCCTTTAAGGTGTGTCATTTCACCAGCATAGGGGGTTAAATCACAGCTTATTCAAAGATAGCAAAATTATCAAGATTTTGGAAGTCAGACATTAAGAAAAGACTGACTGCAAAACTGTGAGCATTCATTTTGATCTGTTACTCTAATTTGCACCTGACTGTCTCCAACCTCTCAAACCATTTTTATTTGCATAATAAAGTGTTTATTTCACCTCAGGTTTTACATGATTCACTGGGGAGTTAATATCATAAGACCAGCACAACTTGTGAACATTCAGTCATATGAAAAGAGAAAAGTAGGTCTTTACAACCAACTCAAAAGGCATTTTTGTCACATCAACTTTAACAGCATTGATTTAAATGGATTTGATTTCTACATCAACCTCATAGCATCTCTGTCTTCATGTTACACCTCACAGAATCACTACAGTGAACCCAAATCTGTTTTTATCTACCTTCTCTTCTTGCCAGAAGAACCATTTATAGACTTGCTATTATTTTTTTGTTCTTAAAATGTGTCCAGGAACTTGCTCTGTTCTTATACTAGCAAGTCCATGCTGTTTCATTTTGGAAGCTGTGACCTCTAGAATTTGCCTGAAGTCATCTCTTCCCACTGCCACAGTTCAACCTGTTCACTCCCTGCTCATTTTCCATTTTCATGCAACAGCCGAACTCATCTCAAACAGCTTGAAAGGCCAGAAGGTCACAAACTGCAGCGCAGAACCCATTATTCCCAAGTTTTGAGTGTTTCATTTCATGTCACCTGTTTTGTAGAGTGTGTGAGGAGCAGCTATTCTTTTGCCTAAAATCAGCAGTAACTTTTCCAAATTTTCTATTCACAGGCACAGCACATAACAGGTGTGTCCCCCTTATGTTTGGCTTTACCGTCTATTTTGTACCTTCCAGAAGAAAGTTTAAGGTATTTTAAAATTCTATTCACCCACTGAAAATTTCCTGCCTAATTAAATATATTGCCATCACATAAAGAGGCACAGCATTTGAGATCAGTAGTTTCTTTCAGGATGAAGAAAAGAAGTCCTCCACTGAGGTAGCCCACTAGAATCCCAGTGCTTCAGCATGTTTCATACATGTGCAAATGCCCTTGACTTAGATTCCACCACATCCCAGCTTGGTGAACATCACCTCTATTAACTTGCTTCCTAGTGCTGTCAGTTGCTGCTCCCACATCTGTGATATTGGATATAGGTGTCCCAAATCTCATTCTGCTTCAATCCTCTACTGGTCATAGCAAAGATCCCTCTGAATATTTCTCTTAATTGAGGTCTAATGAGCTGAGATTTCAAATCTCATAACAGCAGCGCACATGCTCAGCCTAAACTCTGAAGGACTAATCTGGATATTCTGTTTTATTACTAGAAATACTCTTGACTGACTTTTCAACCATTTATGTGATTTATGTATTAAGTACTGACATTTGTTTACCTATCAGTGTTTCTTTTGCCTTGGTTAATGTGAGCACAGTGATACAGTGACATGTCAGCTGAATGCGAGACTGGCTATACACTGAGGAAAAAAATCCTTTTCTACTATCTTATTTGTTTCTGAATTTGTTTGGGGAAAAATCTATTGACCATGCATTCTCCTCACATCTCCAGAGCTCCCACATTCTACAGGAGAAAATTGTACATTTTATTCAATACCCTATGGTCAACAAAGCCTTTTCTGCACTCTGTAGACATCAAAGACTTCCATTCATTTTGCCCCTTAAAACAAATTATTGGTTACTGGTTTCAGTTAATACCTAAAATGATCCCTGCAAATCAATTTAAAATGCAAATTTACCCCTTTTTGGTGTAGAAATGCTACTGTGAAGATACACACCTAGCATTAAATTCCACATTTGAAAGTACTGTTGCTACTGAGAGATTAGTCAGATTTTAAAAAATTCAAAACACTCATAACTGTGACAAATTCAAATAAAACCTCTGAAATTTGTTTCTTTCCTGTAAGCCATTTCTATTCAGTCTTTCCATCCAACCAGATCTCTCAATTTTCCTATGCTTTTCCACCTTTCATAAATTATAACGTTCTCAAAAAACCTCAATTTTTAACAGCTAAATGTCTGGTTAATCTCATGAAGCAAACAAAGAAGCTGAGCTCAAGAGATAATTCATCTTACCTGTTGTAACACCATGAACAACTCCTTCCTTGGTCCTGGAACCTAAACAAAGAAAAATATTAGGTTGAAAATGCATATTCTTAAGTACTGGTAAAGACTAGATAGATGCTAAAGAGGGATTAACATGTGGACTGCATACTGCTGCACACAATATTTTCCAAGGTTATTAAAAAATTTAAAAGAAATTGAGCCTAAGGGAAGAGGCAAAACCATCAGTAAAGAACAACTGCATGGATGGGTACTGGCTGTGGAAAGGTGAGCCATATTGGAAACACTTGTGCAGTACATACTGACTTCCTTGCCATTTTCTGAATAGCTGTGTTAGGCCTCCCACTAGGCCTCTGCACAGAAACCATGTTAACATCCCAAGGAGGATGATGCATGCATTTGTAGAAGGTCTGAGTCACAGTTTCCAGAAGACCCTTAAAATTTCATCTTTGCCAGGTCTCTGTTTGCAGGGCTTGACAATCTCTACTGAACTACAGAAAGGCCAAGGGGTTAAATTCACGGGGAGAAGGAAGTGCTAGCCAGATTTAGATATCAACTAATCCAAAAGAACAGCTTTAAGCAGTAGATAGGATTTCAACATGAAAATGCCCCCCAGGTCTGCTGTCCACTGTCCTCACTGTCACAACTCACATATGATTTGCAGGAAGCAACCTGGAAGTCGTGCTAGACCAAGTCATAACACAAGACTTGTGTAAGCAATGTAACTCTGCCATGCTGAAGACCAAACTGATTTCTGCAATACCCATGCAAAAAGACCATGACTTTTCACCGTTCTGCAGGAAAGGAAACCATCTCCTGTGTCTTTAAGGGGAAGAGAAACTAATTAGCACATACTGCTTAAAACATAACTGGGTGTCTTTTTGGTCTTCTTCCTTACCAGCCCTCTACTTGCCCTTGTCAGGTTCCATAATTTGGCTACATTTCAGGGATTAGTATCCATCTGTGGACTACGATGCTTAACAATGTGCAATTAACAGAGTTTATTGCTCCTAGTTAATCATCTTACCTAGTCTGCCAGAGATAGGATGACATTTTATTTTTCTTACCAACACAGAAATGACCTTATTTGTAATGCAATTTTTTTGCTGTCATTCAGTATTTGAGATAGCATAATTTATATTTCTAACTTTACACTTCTAACATAAGAGAATGCATGAACAGAAAATTAGAAAAAAAAGCAATTTTTTGTCCAAAATTCTTTGCAATAAATACAATTAAACACAAAAGCACAATATAAGTTCATTCGTCAATATGTCCCACTTGCTACTACTGCAAATTTATGGAACTTTAGCCATGTAGTTCTGGCACTATTAGATTGATTACATTATTTAAAAGGCTCTCTTACTGATGAGTAAGAGTAGAATAATAATCCATGACAAATAATAGAGAAAAAATAGTTCATCACATACAATGAAATGTTCCTTTAGCTAATGATAAGGTTAAACAGCTGAAAAGTCTTTTTCCCATTTTATTCCAATTTTCTCTTTAAAAAAAGTTTGCTTTCTCTTACTGAAAAATATTTACCATTGAACAATCAAAAGTTCCATTATATGTGAAGTGTTCACACCTAGGGACTTGTTTTGGCTCTCAATTTCATAGCACCATGAGACATGAAGAAAAAAAGCACATCCTGGAATTCAAACAGATGATGGTTCTACTAACTTCTAGTAACTAGACACCACTGCAGGCTTAGTGTGTCTACTGGAATACTTAATAGTAAGCACATACATTTAAAGGCATTGTTAGGCCTGGCCAATGTCTCATTCATGTTGTTGAACAGACCGTTTGCAAGCCAAGACATTAAAGACATGACAACCTGTGAATTAGCAAGTGCCCAGTTCGCTGAGGCCAAAAAGGGATGGATGGTATGGCAGAACTCCCTGAGGACTCATGCAATGCACACATCTCCAGAGGGACCTAATCCAAGTATATTCTTGCTTTACTCACCCAGAGAACACTGCTACAACCATAACTCACACAGAAATGCTGGTCTCTTTCGTGGAAGACAGACTACTCTTTAAAAAACTCAGCTCACAGGCCCATATGGAACAGGGGTATGTATAGCCAGATCCATTAATTGGCAAACAACCAGCTGGTTGGTGTTCCAGACCCTACAGCATATGTTAGAGCTCAAGAGTACTTGCCCCACTGCTGCACACTTGCATGCAAGCAGCTGTTCCTGCCATGGCAGCTACAACAGCATCTCAGAGCACATTTCGGATCTGCCAGAACAGGCCTATAAATAACAACAGCTGAATTCAGTAGGACGACTTCTGGCTAGGCATGAAGGGAAGCTGGTTGTCCACACTGGTTCCAGGATAAATTAGCTGTCTTTCATCCTGGCATTCCCAAAATACCAATAATCTTGCTCACTGTACCCTGCATAACAAGGGGTACAGAGGAATCCAAGCAGGGATAATATAAGCGCCAAGGAACATGACTCTAACCTAAACCAAGAAGCAATAATAGTATTTGGTAATGCTACTTTTCCTAGCTGTAGCAGATATCTGTGTGAGGGGAGGGAGAACACTAAACAGCATTTTTCTTTTTTTTTATTACAAAAAATACCATAGAGATTCTTCATGATTTATTATCATGGCTGTCACTATGCCAGAATGCAGGAGTGTACCAGGAGTTTGCAAACACATTCATTTCTGGACTATTTGAGAGACCAAAAGACTCCTGACATTGCTTAGTCAGAGCTAGTTACAGACTGGGGGACATAAACCCAAACTAGAGGAAGGGGCAATCAATGTTTAAGGAAAACACTTGCTTTGAAGTCCTGAAGCCCATTATTCTACCAGACCAACCCTGAGTCCCTCAACTACTCTGCTGGCTTTTCTACCACCAAACAAAAATCAGAAATATTACGAAAAAGGAGTGGAGGAATTTGGATGGCTTTCCCAAATAGGTCATGACTGCTCTACTCTACTCGAAGGCCACATGCCAGAACAGGGAATAGTAAACAACTGTCAGCCACCCTGCTGCTAATAAACTATTCATTTGTTCTGTGAATTTATGACACACCAAAACCAATCAGACTGGAAACTTCCATTCCTGGGCAGTGAGCATGCACTCAAGAGTCAACTGAGCAAAAACCTAAGCTCCCTGGAAGCACACATGAAGCTCAGCAGACAACATGAACACTGCATCACCAAGAGTGTGTGAGAACATCCTTCTTACTCAGTTCCTGGTTTCAAAGCAAGTGGAGATTAAGTACTGTCACTCACTTCCTCTCTGCTTCACACTAAAAGTTCTTGAAGGATACAGAAATGTGCAGTTTTAAATTTACAGCACAGACAGGACTGCTGAGCCTCAGTCCTTCTTTCTAAACAATGAACAGGCCATTCTTTGATATCAAGAAAGGCCCTGATGCTGTGTTTGAATGAGTTAAGAGAGAACCACTAATTTCAGTCAGCCAGTGCTGAAGCCCATTGGCAGAGAAAGTTAAGGAGAAAAAAACCCCATACTTGAAAGCATAAAAACACATTGTAGACTGTATTGAGAGGACCTTGGGTATTTAATAGGAAAGTGGACTGAGGGAACAAAGTAGAAATTTCAGCATGGACGGGAAAAAAAAAACCTCAATCAATCCTCCAATACACTACTCTCCTACATAGCTCTAAGTTTCTCCCTTTGCCAAGAGAAATTATCCTTGTGCCAAAAAAAATGCTAAAAACAAAACATGAATAAAAGAATTACAATGACCACATTTCATCCCAAACAGCAGCTGTTTTAAAGAGAACTCTTACCGGGTAGCATTAGGCTATAGTCTTACACAGAATAGTTAAGAGCAGCTTGGACAGAAAGGTCCAGATGTTTTCCACATTTACTTCAATTGCACTGATTTCAGTGGGAAGCCATATCACCTAGGGGATCTGGACCAAAGACTCTGCATCTTCTTAATTCTCCACCAGCAATTGGAGGCTGAATGTTATGAAACTGAAAATGATTAACAGGTCCCACTCAGCCCAGTGTTGTTAGGCTCTTTTTTGCAAGATGTCAGGCAGCTTTCACAGCATAATCTGGCTGTGAATCTCAAATCTGAAAACCCAGCTATATAAAAAGGGAGTGAGAAGTCTTCATGAGCTCTAATGAATTATGCTGCTTCTCTCCTCTGCTCATAAAGGGCCTTCACCACCTTTTGCACTGCAATCATCATCAGCCTGCAGAACAAAAGATTATCACACTGGCCTTTGCTAATGTTGCACAGGGGAAGAGACAACTCTGCTGAGTGCTTGGAAAGTAGACAGAGAAACATCCCCCTTTCCCTATTTGAACTTGTTGAAATGTCATGCCTGTATGGGTGAGCACACAACTGGACACACACTGCCAGAGCTTCTAGAGACAGCTTCCAACCAAAGGCTCTTTTGCCTGCACAACAAACTGTGTACATAGCTCTTGCCTCCTGGAAAGCAGGTACCTGTTGGGAGAAGGATCCTCCAACCATTACTACAGTCACATGCACAAGTCCCTATCATAGCTCAGGGCTCTGTGGTCACCAGTAATTGCTTTAAATTCTTGCAAAAAATAGCAAACATGCTCTCCAAAGTTCAACCTCAGCAAAAGTGTCTCTGAAGACAATAGGAAATCTGTTGCCTTCGGGAACAGAACTAGATTCAAATGTTATTATAGTCTGGAGAACAGGTCAGAAACAAAGATTAATTTAGCACACAATGCAGGCTTCTAATACAAAAAACAAACAAACAAAAAAAAAAAAAAAAAAAACCAAAACAAAAACCCAAAAACCAATGACCCCAGAAGCATGGCCAGGACTACAAGAAAACAAATTAGAAGTCCTACCTCTGAACCTGAAAAATAATTACAACATCAAGCACAATATACAGTGGAAGAACATCTATTTTGCTGTCTTGAAAATGAGCAGATGCTCATTTTAAAATAGATTCATCCTACAATTAGTGTTCAAAATGACTGCCATCCCTGTTGGCAAGAGCACTGAGCTTCGCTATGGCTTAAAAGGGAGGGAAGTATATTCCAAATGAGTAGTCCACACTATCTGGAGCAGAAATAATTTCTTACAGACTGGCACTAGCCTGCAAGAGGGAATCCAAAAAAGGCACTGGGATACCAGAGACCTCAGTACTCCCATTGAAAAGAAATGCCTCTGGTTTTCAGCTCTGTTTAACTTCTCTCTGTTATGTGAGCACATCTCCCTTGGTACACACAGTGCCCATAACAGAACTGACCTGCTACAAAATCTACAGAAAAGGCTATCTTTTCCCCCTCCATTCTTTTATAGACTAGCTTTATTTGATGACTAAGAGAAACAGAGCCATAATCATTTTTTTTATAAATAACCACTTACTCATATAGTCTTGACAGATTGTTTTTCTGTGTATTTTTCATGACAGCATTTGCAAGACACTCTTCTAAAGCTCAGTGCTTGCTAAATGAAGATGACTATCCTGAATGAAAGTACCACTCAAGGATTTGAAAATAATTTTATCCCAGGCTCTATGGAATACTAGTTTGGCCTAGAATAAGACACTAACAACTGCTTTGCTACCTTGGGGTCTACCTGCCCTACCTCATTAACTGTAGAGGCACTTCCTTGAGAAGTCGTGGAAAATTTTTGCTGTGAATTTGCAATAGTAATTACACAACATGAAATTAATTTCAAAAGATAGCACTTTGCCATACAAAATGTTACTGTCAACATACCAAGCAGTTGGCATGTCTACCACCCAAGTCCTGAGCTAACCTCTCAAGTGTCTCCTCCTGAAATCCTGTTCAAGCCCCACATGCTCTGTAGAACGTTACAAAGCTACCTTCACCTCCAGCTTTTACATTTTCTTCATATTTATTTTTGCTGTACCAACCACCCCTTCAGCCTTGATCTGGCAGACTTGCATGGAATACCACTCAATGACCTGTACTGTAAGGCACTCGGCTTCAAAGAACCAGAGCTCAGGAAGGCACAAATTTCCTCTTATTTCTTTTGCAATGGTCTCCTATGAGCAATTAAATATTTTTTTTTGCAGAAGAAGGGGTCTGATGAGGATCCAGTTGTGAATGTTGGGGTGCACCAATCAGCAGCGTGCTCTCTGCTGCCCACCTACCCACATAGAGGACTCCCTCTTTCGTCTTTCCTGCTGCCTCTGCCACACCCTGCTTGGTTTTTTCTGCTGCTGCTACGACTCCCTCCTTTGCCTTGGAAAGCCCTTTCATGAACACATCCATGGCTGAAGACTTTTTTCAAACAGCTCTAGAGAAAAAAAAAGAAAAAAGTACACACTTTCAGTAAGTTTTTTTTTTATCCCAGAAAGGGGAAAAATATTCTAACCAAATGGGAACACAATTACTTTTAAATTATATTATTTATACCACCCAAATTGTAGAGCTATATGAAACAGATATCCCCTTTCCACAGAATCCTATGGTTGCCAATAATGCAGTTCTGACTGGAAGATGGTTCAATTGAGATAAGTACCTTCCTTGCCTATGAAGGCATCATTTCTCCCAAAGGACAGTTCTGTTCATGTGATGAATGCAAGATTTAGACCTGTAATTTGATGACACTCCACCTCTCATCCAGAGAAAAAAGCCAACTTAAATAAACATCAGCAACTTAAAAACAAGCAAACAGACCAAACTGAAAACCAAAACATATAAATCAAAACCTCTCATAAATGACAAATGTTCACTTGTAAGAAAATGCCATTACAGCTCAGGACTGGAGAAAATAAAAAATGCTGCATTTCCATTAGGCCAGCATTTTACACACAGTCCACATCCTCCTTTTGGAAACTGAGTTTTCCTGAATGGGTTCCTTGCATGCATCACAACTAGAGAAAATATTTTACTAAAAAGCAAAAGCAAGAAAGCAGGATGTTAAAAGCACTGCACTAAAGCTACCAAGAGAGTCCTATCACAGCAATACAATCCAGTACTACACCAAACCACTTAAATAGTAATTAAAACCCAGAACCGGCGTCCCTTCAACAAATCCATTATCAGTAATCCTTTCTCTTCCTCCACCCACACAGACAGAAGTGCTGCCTGTTATCTTCACTTCTTTGCCAGAGGCTGAGTAGGAGGAATGGATGTCTAGGAAGGCATCTGGGCTGTCGCAGCTTTCCACTAACTCGTGACGAGCGTGCGAGGAAAGGCAGCGTTTGTGCTCCAGCCAAGCTGCCCACGGTACCTGGCGCCCTGGGGATGGGGAAGGGGGGTGGGTGCCTTGCACACAGCGCCGGGGGAGGCAGCGCCGGCCCGCGGGACCCTCCGGCTCCTGCACCGGCAGGGTGCCAAGGCCCGGCCCCGGGGCAGCGCCGCGACCAGGTGCGGGGGCACCTGGGGACCGCGGCTGTGCATCAAAGGGAACCTGCAGAGGGAGGAGGGAGGGAGCAGGGCGTATGTGCGCATATATGTAGCTTATACATACACAAACATACAAATACATGCACACGGCGAGGCACCTACCGAGGAAAGCAGAGCGGCGCGACCATATGGGCACCCACGGGCTCCCGCGGACACGCCGTCGGCACACGGCGGACACGGCGCCCGGCTCCTCCTCCCTCCCCTGTGCCCACACGGGAACGTGCAACAGGACAGATCTATCCCGCTGTCTCTGGCATTAGACACACACCTATGGTTCCGTGCAGACGCGCCCGCCCCGCCCTGCCCGCACTCACCGCCGGGCTCCTCCGCCACCGGCGAGCGACCCGTTCCGACAGGCGGGGGCGGCGCGGCTGCGGGCGGGCGAGGCGCGGAGCGGCCCGAGGGAGCGGCCCCTGCTCAGCACATCCCGAGGCTCGCAGCCCTCCGACTCTGCTGGCACCACCCCGGCGGCAGCCCCGCAGGCGGCGAGAGGCGAGGGCGGGGGGCGGGAGGATGCGCCGCGGCGGGGAGGAGCGGTGGCTCCTGCTCCCTGTTGAGGATGCGCCCCCCGCCCGGCCCCCTGCGCCCACCCTATCGCGTCCTCCGCGGCGGTGAGGTGGGAGGTGTGATAAGCTGCGAGCACCTGTTTGCTGGGCTTCTGGAGAGAGAAGCAAGGGTTAAAGGTGGGGAGGACGATTTGGTCCCCCTGGGACTCCGCACAGTCACCACTCCCTCCAAGGGCTGGAGCGCCTCATCTTAGAAGTGTAAGGAAGCTGTTGTTGCGGCACAGCCCTGAGTCACTTCACCAAAGCCTTAGAAAATCTCCCCCAGCTTCTAATTCTTTTTCATCTACTTGCCAATCTTCAACCTTGAATGACTGCAGTTCAATGTCACCGTTCTTACAACATTCATGATCCCAGTTCATTTTAAGCACGGGAGGTGGTGCTCTTGCAGGTGTAATTCGAGTCTTAACTCTATTGCACACACACAAGAATTTTCATCCCAAATGAAGAGCAGTACGGCCAGGCTTGCCCAATCCTTACACCGTTGCTTGCATCTTCCTCCACACAATCCATGGCCACTGCCACCCAAATCTTAAACTCAGGCAGAGAAGTCACTTTCTCCCCAGAAAGGGAAATCTATCAAATTTCTCTATTTTGGTCACAGAATTTAAGCATGAAAAGCCAAGACCAGTAGGAGACAAGGCACTAGAACAGATGGACCTTCAGTTTCAGTACATCAATTCAAATCCTGCAAGACTTAGAGAAACAGCTTGGGTTTTATTGCACTCCAAAAGGAGAAACAGAACATGGATGAGATACCAGGTAGTGAGCTGCAAGGAGCATCTTTCATCCATCATCCCGTGCAGACAGCTGATGCATCCCTAGTTTTCATGCTAAACATGTAGTGCAGGATCTTATTCTTGTCAGGCTTCTTTGTAAGTAATATTTCTGTATAGTTTGGTAAACTTTCTTTTGCTTCATTCTACTAGTAGTTTTAATCTACCAAGCATTAGGCAACAGATTTTACTTCTTTGTGGAACAGTGTTCAGACTGGTAATACATATACATACACAAATAAATAATTTTCTCATCATTCTGCCCTCAAGAAAACCTTAAAAAAAAGCCTAGAAATTGAATTACATAAGGTACCTCACCTCATTCATCTTGTGCAGCGCATTTCTAGTTAGTAGTGCAACAGCTAGATGTGGTATTTCTATTTTCTTCCTATTTTAAGGAGAGGACAGTAAGTACAGTTCCAGACAGTAAATAAATATTAATCAAAATCATATTTTTTGCACATGTTAACTGGCCCAATTTATGTATCTTAGTATGTAAATTGGCTCATTGAAAACCCTTCTGTCAGTCATTTTCTACTACCCTGAGCAGTAAACTTTGACCCCAAATTATAATTAAAGTGAATCTTGCATTCCTTATATAAGTATTATCTTCCAGATTTAAAGAAGGCTTTACTTTTTCCATGCAAGTTGACTATGAGTATGAAATGTTGTTTTTTATTATGCTGACATAAATCTACAGACTTATTGTATTTAATTATGTTTGGAGAAACAGACAATCCTGTATGATAAACAACCTTGTATATTTATGGCTCTGTTTCTGAAAACTTTAGGAAGTAGAGCTCAGAGATTTGCAGCTCCTAGCTTTTGCAAGCAGTCTTTTTTTTTGCCTTATGTTTATCAAAGACAGGCATTATGTTCTTCTGTTAAACAAAGTAACAGCTTGTCCTTTAACAAAACCATACAGCTAGAAATAGAGAGGCAAAGGCAAGAGGGATCAGTTGCCACAGCAGAAGTAAAGCTTAAAATTTCAGCTGTAGTATTCAAACTAGGCAGCTGTTAAATTCTAAATCATTGGATAAGAGGCACAGTAAGAAAAAACAGAGTACAAATGTTGACACAAGAAATTCTTCATTCTAAAAATGAATGGGACTTAGGTGGAAAACAGAATTAAATATGGTAGAGAATGGGCATTGTATCTCCAAGGCAATCCCTATTTAAACCATATTGTCTAAACAGCTGGTTGGGGCTTTTTTTAGGTTGTCTCTTCAGTACTATTAGTATCACAGCAAGCTCTCCCCTGAAGCCTTTTCTGTCTGAAGAAAGGATAGTAGCAAACAGATTGCCCACTGATCACATTTAAAACAAATCTTTATTTAATGACACTGTTTACTTCACATGAGCATCTAGAGCAAAAATCAATTAAGTAGTACTAAAATCTTCTTTACTTCATCTTGCCTTGCAGGCTAACTTATTGGTTTAGTTGCTAGTGATCAAGTATATCTACTTTATCACTATGAAAAGAACAATTATGGACAATTGAAAAAGGTTGCAGAGTAAAATTGATCCGAATTTACTGATTTTGGGTTACTGACTCACACAGACTCCCTGTGTACCACAGGTCTGATAGGTGATGCTCCTCAGACGAAAGGTACCTTTGAAAACCTGAAAGCTGCAGTATGAAGAGAAGCTGTCTTAGGTCACTGTGTTCACAGGTAACATTGATTACACTGCTTCAAGGCTCTTCTACCGATTATTACAGCCTGGGGTTCCTGGGGTCTATCCAACCCTGGCTGCTGTAGGTGTCCCACATAGCGAGATACAGCTAAGCACAACCTGTCCAGGTCCCACAGGCAAGCTCCCATCCCCAGGCAATCTTAGCAAGCAGCTCAGCTCTTAAGTGAGATCAGCTCTTCAGTGAATTCAGCTCTTTAGTGATTTCAGCTCTTTTCTTGCTAAGGTGCCCGGCAAACACAGGGAGAGAAGCCTTCCTCTGAAGGCTGTATGAGGTTCCACAGAGGTGTCTTTATTGGCAGCTCCTGTGAAGGTGACAGTGACAGCTCTTCTGCCGAACTGGGCAGAAATGCGAGTTTATATAGGGTGCAGGGGTTTTGGAAATGGTCCAATGGCCAGGGTCGAGGCAAATATGACCTATGGCCTTACAGAGAGATAATGAGGGTCCGAAGGTGGAAGAGGGACTTCTTTGGTCCAGTCATCATGACTGGGCATTTCTTATCTTAGGCAAGTGATCGCCAGGGAAGCCTTGCAGGGCCTCTGGCTGCTAGAGCAGATAATCTGAAAATGGTCTTCATTGGATATATACATTAACTGTGAGAAAATGTGAACAATTTACACACAGTGTTTGGATTTCTTACAGAACAGTTTACTATGTGGGTTGCTTTAGAGGCAACTAGGAGTTCAGATCAGTTTCCTAGACTCCTGCATCACAGTGAACCATTGCTGTCTTTTCTGACCATGCTATAACTACCTGTGTGCCCCTTTCTGAGAACTCAAAAATATGCTCATTTAAAAAAATAAATGAAGATGACCTCATCTTTGCTTACAGGTAAGCCTGAGATTTAGCAAAACATTATCTTTTTCTTATGCTCATAAGTGTTATAATTTAACACTCCAGAGCAAACATGGTGTTCCCATGATGTTTACTCAACTGAAAGTTAAGCGCATGTATTAAAGCCTTCATACAATCAAGATTCAACCCATATCAGAGTTAATTTCCCAGTGGAAGCATTCGGTTTATTAATTTAAAATTAATATTTGTTATTATGCAGCAGTCCCATTGCAAAGATTTCTGTTTGTGAACTGTTTTGATAGCTATAACAGGGTGCTGGGTTATTGTGGGCTGGGCTATTGGATGTCCACTGTCATGCAGCTGTTGCCAAGAGATGGAAATAGAACTCATCGCAAGCGTTTTAACTGATATAGACAATATGACATCTATACATTGTATTGGAGTACTTGGATGTATGTACACATACACACACACAGATGTACATATACATATATTTCAGGAAGATTGATGTATGTCTCTCATCTGGTGGATTTCAGCTCAGCTATACTAATCTTGACACAACTCTAATCACCAGACAGAAGGGTCTCACAGCTTTATACACCTCTGTACAGGCAGAACCTGCCAGACATTTACCTCTCTTTCACTTGCAGTCAATGGTGAAGTTACAGAGCCATCACAGCTTTTATAAGCAATGGTAACATTTCATTAAATAATTAATCTCTCTGGGTTAGAAATTCAGTCCTAAAGGGCACAGAAACTCTGTTGCACCTGGAACCTTTAGCAAAGCTTTACTCTGAAAAGCAGTATCTTGAGTGCCAAGGAAGCCATCTGGCGGTATGTTTCTACTCAGAGACAGCCAGTACGTCAGATGAGGCTGACCTGAGGGTGCCTGGCATAATCAGTGTTGATTATTCTTTAAGGTGTTTCCCACAGAATTACAGAATATGCTGAGTTGGAAGGGACCTCACTGAGTCCTTCTCTTAGCCCTGCACAGGAACATCCCCAAGAGTCACACCATATGCCTGAGAACATTGTCTAAAGGCTTCTTGAACTCTGTCAATCTTGGTGCTGTGACCAGTTCCCTGGGGAGCCTGTTCCAGTGCAAAACCCCTCTTAGGGTGAAGACCCTTTTTCCTAATATCCAGCTTAAATCTCCCTGATACAGCTTCAGGCCATTCCCTCAGTCCTATCATGGGTCACCACTGAGAAGAGATCAGTGTTCTACCTCTGCTCTTCCCATCACAAGAAAGTTGTAGGCTGCAATGAGGTTTCCCCTCAGTCTCCTTTTCTCTAGACTGAATAGGCCAAGCTGCATACCACCAATAAATTGATTTTACCTGAAAGAAACAATCACCTTCCTCATGTGTGATGCAACATGTTATCAGCATCTCATATAACTGAAAATGCTAATGCTAAAAAAGTGGAAATCACCAAGCCAGAGTCAGGTCTGACACCTGTCTTGTCCCTGTTTGATTGAGA